GGATCCCTTTGTTATTTCATTATGAATAAATTAGTCAATCATATCAAACATAAGAATTTATCTTTATTTAGATATAACGGGCTTTTTGATTGGCTAAAATAAGTTTTRCACACCGAGGGGACCGTTAGTGAGTTTTGTCGCGACGCCAACCAATCCAGCCGCCATGATGGAAAAACGTGGCGTAACACATTCAAAGTTTGTAGGAAAAAGAATAGAAATTAATGGCTAAAAACCAAAATAAAACCTATCACAGCGTTGAAGAAGTTCTTAAAGATGTTTTAGATAGCGATGTTGAATTTGATTTGGATTCTGAACTCGGTGAATTGTCTTCTGATGAGGAGGAATTGATCAACCAAGGACTTGACCCTGAATTGGACGTCGATCAGCTAAGGTATGTTTCTATCCCTTCATTATCTTGATGGTTTTTTATCCAAAACAATCGAAATAATGTTTTCGTGTTCTTATTATGAAAGAAATACAATTACTTTGTGTAATGTTCGTCAAATTTGCGCATATTCGTGCACACTGAAAACAATCACTTGTCGTTGATCAGCTGGATGAAAATGTAAATTTCACGTGTAAAATAACAGTCATTTTTTGTACCTTCCAGATATAATGTGCTCTATAATTCGATTTCTGTTTGCTCATAATTTCTTCAACTGTTAATTTTTTATCTATTTGTTTGTCTGAAAATAAAATAACTCATATTTTCAGGAATATTTGCTATAAATATTGCGAGAAAATACAACAAAATATCCTTATCAGACATAGTTATCAGGCTTGTCAGAAATTCTGATGCCATTGTTTGAACACACTATACAATAATATGATATGTCATGAACCTAAAGTTTGATTTTCATTCCATTTTTTTTTTTTTGATAATAATGAATAGCTGTCATTTTTCATTGGCATCACAGAAAGAACAGCAGCTACAAAAAGTTGTAATGTCATCCTTATCCAGGTTTATTTACTAATATTGCAGTGATGACGGTTCAGAAGAAACAGATGCTGCGCCTAGAACTTTGGCCGAAATCAAGTATTCTGCACRAGCACCTAAAAAATCAAGAAAAGATAAACCAGCGAAAAAAGATAAAATTCAGCCCCAGAGTTGGAATTCCCCAAGTAAAGCTGACAAGGACCCAGAGAGGAGGAGATTCAAACCTTTGCGAGAGCCAGGGCTTCAGCTACCAGTTGATCAAGAGTGGAAGCCAACAGATTTTTTYAAACTGTTTTTTTCTGTAGACAGTGTGAAAACTATAATCAAGAACACTGAAGAGTATGCTGCTACACTGAAAGCAAAAAGGCCATACTTGAGATGGTATCCTTTGACAGTCAAAGAATTTTATGCCTTCTTGGGTATAATAATATTCATGGGATTGGTTGATGTACCAACTGTTTCAGAGTACTGGAACTCTGATGGATTTTTTKGACAAGAATTTGYTAGAAATTCAAGAATTTGCAAAACAAGATTTGCCAATATTCTTGTCTGTCTCCACTTGTGTAACTTGGAAGAAGAAAGAGAAAATGAAAGGAAAAAGCAAAGGCAAGAGATCCRTGACCCACTTCTGAAATTGAAACCTCTATTAGATGAACTTGTACTTTGTTGTTCATCATATTATGTTCCAGGTCAGGCAATTTCTATTGATGAGAGGATGGTAGCTTTTAAAGGAAGAAKCGGCATGAMGCAGTATYTCAAAGACAAACCCACAAAGTGGGGTTTCAAACTTTGGGTCCTTGCAGATTCAACAACAGGTTATACCTACAAGTTTCAAATATATACTGGAAAGCGTCTTACCAAAACAAAAAATGGTCTTGGGCATGATGTAGTTATGGACTTGATGCAGGGTTTGTTCAACCAGGGATATCACTTGTACRTTGACAACTTTTATTCATCTCCAACACTATTTTGTGACCTCTTTGTTCAGGGCTGCTTCTGCACAGGAACTGTTCGTGATAATAGGACTGGATTTCCAAAAGGGTTTGGTAATCCTTTACTTAAAAGAGCTGAACGTGGATCCTCAAGATGGTTTCGTGATGGACAGCTGGTGTTTGTGAAATGGAAAGACACAAAGGAAGTTACAGTTATGAGCACATATTGGAAAGCTACTGGGACTGATACAGTACAGCGCAAGAAAAAAAGGAATGGAGAATATACTGTGCAAAATGTCAACATTCCACCACCAATCGTAGATTATAACAGGAATATGGGTGGGGTTGACCTCTCCGATCAGCTCATAAAGTATTACCAAGTGCTAAAGAAAACCAGAAAATGGTGGAAGACTTTATTTTTTCACTTCATAGATGTAGCTATTGTGAATGGTTACATTATTAACAAAACAGCTGGTGGAACTCTTGACCATAAGAATTTTCGAAGGCAAATAGCAATAGATCTTGTGTCCACCAATACTGATGTTGAAGCTGAAGTAACTACCCCAAKAYCTGGTCGTSCATCAAGAAGTGATGTTAGAGCACAGCATTGTCCTATTCCATTGATGACAGACCTAGACAAATCTGACAAGGCAACAACTGGACGTAAAAACTGCAAACTCTGCTACATCAGAGAGAAAAAACAACAACGGACACCATGGCAATGCTCCAAGTGTTTGGTCCCCTTATGCTTGCAGCTTGAGCGCAACTGCTTCCAGCATTGGCATACTACTGCTTGTGACAATATTAGGGAATAGAAGTTACCACAAGCCAGAAAAACTGGGATTCCATACTGYTTTTACTCCTTAAATCCTAAGTAACCCTTTGAAAAATTATGTAAATCATAGTTTGAAAAAAGCATTTCGAAACGAAAGAATTTTGTGATTCTTTATMATTTATATAGTAGATCACAAAATTTATTTAAATCTTTATTATTGTTTCACTTTACCTTAAATATTGCCTTGGGAAAGTTTTTTCTTAATTTATGTGGATAAAAACAATCATTTTGAGTGTTTCTAGAAAAGACAGACTCAAAATAGATAATATGCATGATTTTGCCTAGTTTGCATAAATTAACCGCTCCAATAAAAAATAAATAAATAAATCCAAAAAAAAACTCTTGAAGTCTAACCAAAGTTTTTTCTAAAGCTATATATCTCAAAATAATTAATTTGGAGCTTTTAAAACTGTTTCAGCTGTTTGAAACTTCATGCTAGAATAAAAAATGCAATTTTGAAAATGTTGATTTATTTATAATCACGTGATTGATGACGTCACATACTCATAGGGGTCCCTCTACTACAATTTAAAAAAATTCGTGACGAAAGCTTATTCATTAAGCTTTATGAAAAATATATACATAATGAGGTTTTTTTTACAATGGGCTATTCCATTTAATATGCGCACCCCCCTTATCGAGGATTGAGTTTTTTTATTCCTACGTAAACACCCTGAAGATTTTTATTTCCTGATTACCCCTGAAGAATTTTACAAAAGTAAAAAAAACTAAAGAATTTCTTTACCTTGCTCTGTACACCCCTGAAGAATTATCCAAAGAAATTTGATTAGCCCTGAAGATTTTTACCTCGCTCTGTACACCCCTGAAGAATTATCCAAAGAAATTTGATTACCCCTGAAGATTTTTACCTCGCTCTGTACACCCCTGAAGAATTATCCAAAGAAATT